GGAGTGAAACTTTGGAGCCGCCCCCTGCTGTAGAAGACGTGGAGCTACAGTATAATATAAATGAAAAGGCCTCTCTGTACACGTTTGGCTCTTTGCTCCAATTATCAGCCTTCACCATTTCAGCTCAAACACTTGACTCACATTAAAATCCCTGACAGAACAGCGTCAGCAGAAAGAGAGGGGGGAGATGGAGGAGATAGAAACTTAGGCTGGAAGGAGAGTGGGGGGAGGGGGTCGGGGGGAGTAGTGGAGCGATAAGGAGGCGGAGATAAGGAGATGGAGTGCAGATGCAGTGGCAGCGAGTGTCATCGGAATAAAAAGAGGAAGGAGCTCCAACCAAAGTTTCTTTTTTTTCCTCTTCTTTTCTTCCAACTGTGCATTAATGAGCAAGGTCACCTTCACCCTCCCCCCCCCCATCTTCCTCCACCTGTGCTGCCTCCCTGCCTCACATCTAGTCATCCTCCCATCCCTCCCTCAGCCTCACCATCCATCCACTCCGTTTTTCTGGAGCTCTGAGATGCCAAAGGACAGCGACCCCATGAAGTCGTTGCGACTGGTCAGATCCCAGTCCCACACTTCCACGGACAGGCGTCGGTCCTTATCGTACTCCTTCAGGTGGCTGGAAGAGAAACGAGGACATTGTTTTGGTTATTCCTGACATCACAGACACATATTCTTTTATTATAACTGGATATTTTGTTGGATCTGGTTCCTCTGTTTCCTCATTTGGAGGAAAGAAACCCTCGGAAAAACAAAGCATGCTTCTGAATACAAATGCGTGCTCTCCCATACAAACTGCGATGTGGCTTATTAAAAAAATAATTCAAGCCAACTGCGAGATCTGTCCCCAAAAGCAGGGCTTTATGAATATGAAGAGCCAGATGTTTAAATCTGAGCGCCAGCGGTTAAACACGGCTGGCGTGATGAGCTTCGTGTGGTGCTCTTAAAAATACCGCAACGATGGAGGGAGAGGCATGATGAGATTTAAACAAAACAAAAAAAAAAACAAGGGCAGAAAATAAAACAGCTAAATTAATGGAGCCTTACAATTTAAAGGTCTCGTTCCAGGTGGGGTTGAGGCAGCACTTTATGGTCTTGGTCTTTTGTTTGCTCTCGCTGCGAGGGTCTGGAATCAGTTTGAGCTTCACGTAAGGGTCAGAGAGACCGTTGGGGTCCATGGGAACCAGATTTCTACCCTCTTTGACTGGAGAGAGAAACAAGAACGAGGCAGGAAAGAGAAGGATGAGTGACATTTAAAAACAATTTGTTACCTTACCAGTAATATATACACGGCCTGTAGAGGGGAGTAAAGGCAGTGTTTGCACAGCATTACCATTTACAGACTATTACTGTGGCTATTAGAGGTTCAGTCATTTGCCCACTAGGAGGCTGGGGATCAAAGCAGTAACATTTTAATTCAGCTGCTCCACCACCTGAGGCGCAGCAGCCCAGTCAGAGTTAAAGCCCACAGGTCGACACATTAGTCTGAGGGACAATGTAGACAGATGAAGGCTGTCACTTCCAGCACTAATCCCTATTTTGTGGGTGTTTGTTATTGGGCTGTAATTGTATTGCAGACTGTAAAATCCCCAGCAATTGATTTTCAGAGTGTATTAAAGGGAAAGTGTGTGTATGTGTGTGTGTAAGCGGCAGAATGTGAGAGAGAGAGAGAGAGAGAGCAGGAGCAATAACTGTTGCTGGTCGGGTTCTGAGGTCACATCCAATTACCAGGAACCAGGGCGTGTGTCAAGCACTCTAACACTCACACAAATCCAGCCAGATGTACACAAATGAACAACACACACACACACACACACTTTCCCATTAATACACTGTGAAAATCCACATTTTAGCACAGATGGTTGAGTTAATTCATTCAGTTTTTTTCTGCCTAATTCCTTTGAGGATCAGCAGCCAGTTCACCATCCATTCACACTCACATTCACACCTACGGTCAATGAAGAACGTCCAATTAACGTGAGGAAACACGCGGTTTATGTCTGAGGGAAGTGGAATTCAACAGGAAGTTCAAGATAATTCATAAATGACATTTTTGTTTTGGGTTTTATTGTTGACATCACTGCGTAAATTATTTTATTCACGTGGAGATTTTCAATATTATGGCATTTACACCTGCAGAACTCCACGTCAACAACAGGACAATGTCAGTTCTGTTGGGCCAGTATTACTGTACACGTACTGCAATACACAGAGGCCACGCAACTATAGAAAAAACACAGTAATAATAATTCATAATAAATACACATTGGAGCCGAGGTGCAGGGTAACTGCAGTTTCCCCGTCATTATAAATCAATTATATACAGTCCATTGAATGTACATTTTATCCCTTTACTCGTACGGAGTGAGAGATGGAGTAATCAAAATAATAGTAACTCTGTTCACGGGCAGCGAATTGTTCTGCAAATTTATTGCACTTATAAGAAATAAGAGAGTTTCAGCTGTAGTGAAGAATGAACCCAGACTTAATTTCACACATAACAAAGAAGTGCCGGGGACAGAAGAAGGGAGGAGACGGAAAATTACCGGCTGCCATTATTCGCAGACAAATTACGGAGACTAAAAATGTCACATTTAGGTGCGAAATAATACTGGAGCTGCCCCGTCTGGTATTGTCAGCACGGTGCGCCTGAGTTCACCTGAAAGAGGAGCAGAACTTCCCCCGACTGTCACGCTTCACTTTTTTATTTTTTTTATTTTTTTGGTGACCTTATGTTAAACAATTTGGACAGACGGCTCCTACTGCTGGGCGGAACACACATCGCCCTGTGAAACCAGGACTGAAGCCAAAGCAACACAGCGAGATCACAGTGTGAGAACACCTGAAGATGTCAGAGGAGTAATGTTCTCGTGCTGGTAAAACCCCACTCCAGGCTCAGAGAAGTTAACCACTGCACACGGCTAACAGCCTGCGTTCACTCCTGGGCGGAGAGAGTCGATAAATATTAGATGACGCCTGTTAAAGTGACCAGCAAACGCAGGTTGAGGGAAGCTTTGGAGGGGAGCGCGTCAAACGGTCTCACTGGACAAGAACAGTCAAAACAATGGAGGAGTGAGTGTGAGGGGTGGGAGGGTGAGGGGTGGGAGGGTGAGGGTGAGTGACTTTCCACATGCATGCACATTTGTCTAACAGCCCTGTGAGTTTGGTTGTAATGAGGAGTAAATATATAGTGTATGCTAACACCACGTGCTAATGCACCGACGGTTCATGTGGGACTCAGTGTGTGTATGAAGATGTGTAAAAGCATGTGTGTGAGGGGGGGGGGGGTAATGCACGTGTCTGCAGGGAGAGTGAACAGAGATAAGAATGCAGTTGCAGCAGAATGCAGTGTACGCACAGCAGCGTGGGTGTTAGCAGCTAACGTTAACGCTAACAAAGTCAAAGCAACGTTCACGTCTTCAGTCCTGCGCTGACTCCTTCTTGAATGTATGTGCAATATATACAGTCATATATGGGTTCTCTGACTCTAAAGCTTTATATGTTCACTTGTCTTGAAAGCTGAAACCATAAGCCGTGTATATGAGACACGGACGTTGTTGTCACGTTGGAAAGCTATAATCGTAAAGTGAAACAAACCCAAAGGCAGACTGAAGAGTGAACATAAAATTATATATATATAAAAAAACAAATATTAAAAAAAATGTAATTATGAAAAAACAGAATTCTTTATTTTAGTCCAAACAGCTGCTTGTCCTGTATCCTGGAAATCTTAGGTCTTTGACATAGTTTTGAAATGTAGGGTTAAATACCTGTTCAGAACCAATGCAACATAGCATTGCTCACCGCTCCTATTCAGATCAGAATCAGATTTTTGTTGTGCATTGTCCACTATTTTCGTCTAAATTCAGTTCCATCAGAAAACGAATACCTCACTTCACACTGTTACAGGCTTTAAAGAAGAGAAGAACAAAGTTCCAACGTAAACTACGACTGTTTTATCAGGTGTATCAATCCAACAGAAAGACCAACACTGTGAAACTCTGATCACGTCAGCTTCTCTGTCTGTTGTCGTCTTTGTCAGGTCAGTCTATAAGGACGAGAGAGTCACATCAAAATGCACAGCTTCAGACCCAGAGGGCTGTTTTCATGACTGACTTTGATTCCCAGCCTCACTGAGACTATTTTGTATTTTTTGTAAACAACCCTCTGCTGACTGGACGTCCCCGGGACAGATCGAATTTCTGTTCGTCTGTGTGATTCTGCTGAGGGCATTTTATGCCACATGGTGAATAATTTGTGTGAATAATCTTCACAGGTCAAAGAACGACGTGAATCGAGTGTTCGTTACTTTGTCTTTTTCAACGGCGACTAAAAAGACAGCGCAGTCAGGTTACGGTTCAACGAAGGTCATTTCTAGTTTTTCGTGGGGAACGCAGAACTGGTGTAGCACCAGAGGTGGCGTCGGTGTCGTAGCTGCTCCTGGAGTGTCCTTGAGATGTTGATCCACCGGCACCACCGAGCTTCAAACACCCAATAAGGAGGGAGCGTGGGGGTGGAGTGAAGTGTGGACCAACACAGGTAATCAATACAATGTCACTTTCATTAAGTCTGCAACTTCAGTCCAGAGGATACATGCGTCCTGCAGCGCCCCCTACATTCTCAGCAGCTTCTGCTATGTTAAGCTGTTCAATGACTCCTGGAGTCTTTTCAATACGGTCCCTGTGACGGAGATTAAAAAAAAAAAAACTGCCTCACTGCAATGAAGTAGCAATTTACTGGTGGCTGCACACTGACCCCTGTGGAAACAAACGAGTAGTGCACAAAGCTGCGTAAAAATGAGTGCTTCACAGCGTCAGAGAATTATCTGAACAAAGCCTTAATTGATCGGTTCTAGTTGTTAATATACGATACGATTCGATTCACGATACATAACAATATGATTTGCTTGATGTGTTTTTCTCTTTTGTATTCAATTAAATTCTATCCAAGTCTGTTTTATTTTATTCTTAATGGTGGTACCGATGACGTAAATGCAACCTTTGTAGACGTTAATCAAATATTAAATTACTAAGTTTTAATATATTCGAATTTTATTCATCCTTAAAAATGAAATTGAAGATTTAGCCTTACAATAAATTAATACAGTATATTTGGCTTTACAGACACACAAGTCCTAGTTTAGGCTTCTTTTGAACACAGCGCTTACGAATAGTAGTTAACTGCGGCCACCTAGAGGAACTATGAGGCATTACAAGGTTCACTGTTTTGCCTGGTCTTTTTGACCTGTTGCGGATAAAAAAACTCTAAATCACTCTATGTAGAAATGAAGTCGTTAACTTAACACCACAGTTCGTTTTTTATTGTCTTTATACCTGATGAACAGAGGACCAAAAGCATGAGTCTGTTACGGACGTGCCTATTCATTAGAGACGTAACAAACGCAACTCAGAAAACACCGCTCTACGTCTGCCAGCAGGGGGAGACAGATGTTTAATCTGTCTCTAAGGACAACAGTTGAACCAGAGCATTTCATGTACCTGTAGGTTTTTGTATGTTAGTGTGTGTGTGCGTGTGTGTGTGTGTGTGTACTTACTGGTGACAGTGAGTACATTCGTCTTGATCTCTGCAGTGATATAGAGGCGTCCTCTCCTCTCAGTGTGGTCCGTCCCACACAGACTCGGCACATTGGCCACACAGCGCTTATGGATGTTCATCATGCAATCTAGGAATAACACACAAACACACACACACACACAAACACACACAGTCACTGTACAGTTTTTTTTGTTCACAATTTAACATCAACTGTTTGGTTTATTAGCATTGACAGGACTTTAAATATTTTCAATATTTGGACCAAAGTATAAAAGTTGATGTGAGTGTATGAATATATAAATAAACGTACGTTCACATCGCATGCCCTGATGAATGAGACCATAGAGCAGAGAACCACAGTGGTCACAGAAGGTTGGGCTGGAGTAGGTGTGGATCTTGAACTTGTGCTTTGCTCTTGGGTCCTGAAAAGAAAGAGTGAAGAAAAAAAGACCACAATAAGTACAGACCGAAGGACAGACGGGTTCACAGCGAGGCAACATTTCTTTAATTTTTCTGTTTTTTTTTTTTTTTCATGCATTTTATTTTAAAAATGGCAATCAAAAGTAGCTAACCCTGCCCTCATATGGATCGATGAGGTACTGCAGTGGCAGAGGAACAAAGTCACACAAATTGTCTGGGGTTCCACACCAATGACAGAGACACTGCCTCTGGGCCGAAGCGCCACAGAGAGAAGACAAATCTGCTCATTTAATATACGTAAATGACCAAAGTTAGTGGTATGCTACTATAATATACGTAAATGACCAAAGTTAGTCCTACCTAGTCAAACTGTCACTGACTACTACTAAAGGTAGTTGGCAAAAAACAAACAAACAAACAAAAAAAAACAAACAAAAAAAAAAAACAGATGAAACCACATGGTTTGATAATTTACCACCTAACACTGTAACAGTTGGATCACTCCAGTTCACAGTCGTATCTATTTCCTCTTTCATAAACATTTGCATGACACAAAGACACCAGTCGTCAAGTGTGTGTGTGGAAGAGAGACACCTGCAATCATGGCTTGTAAAAAGCGTACACACACACACACACACACTTGAACACACACACACACACACACAGTGGCAGTGTGGGAGTCAAACTTGTGTCAGACCACAGTTAATCAACATGCAGCAGCTGCTTCAGGACCATAACAAGTGGAACATGAATTTTAAACAGACGTCTCTCCGTCACATGGACGGCTGTGATGACATCAAATACTGCAGTGGTTTCTGTGAAATAAAAAAAAAGGCCCTGATGAAATGTGGTCAAAGAGGATTTTTACCGTTTTTGGTCAAACTTTCATCTTTACGACAGGTGGAAAAAAGAGGGAGAAATTGTCATAAAATTCGTTTTATACGAGATTCAATATAAATAAATAAATAAATAAATAAATAAATAAATAAATACTTGTCCAACTTTCCAGCCTGGACCAAAGATAAGACGTTACTGGTTAAACAGTGACGACTCTCAGTAAAGTCACGTGTCGTGTGTTCAACACATCATTTCCCTGTCAGCGTTGTCAATCAAACCCACACACACACACACACACACACACACACACACAAAGCCTCCTGTCAAGTCTGTGTGTGACGGACAGACTCCATTCTTCTGCACCTCTTATTCACCAGGCCTCCACAAAGTCCATTATAAAAATTCTGCCCACTTTTCTAAAGAACCTTAACTTTTTTTAAAACAGTTCTTTGTTTCATAAATTCATTGAAACCACACTCTTGATTCAAGCTGCGCCCGTGAATAAACAACGATTGAATAATCATGTGTAAATGGAGAAAAAAAAAAGACAATTCAGTCTGAGTCAATAACAGAGACACAGACACCTTTCTGAGTGAAGGAAATCATTTTTAAAAATGTTTTAACTAGTGTAGCTACAGAGTGGAGCCGACGTTTGTTCTGCTCTCATCGATAAAAACCAGGGAGGTGCTGTCGTGTTTTTTCCCCTCAGGCTGACGACTCTTCCTCTGTTTGTCTGTGAGACAACATTTGAAATGATTCCCTGCTGATTAAAGAAGCCACGCAAAAAAACAAAAAAAAAACAATAAAAATAAACAGTATGAATGGCATCGCAGGAAACAGAAAAGACAAAGTGTAAATAAAAATAAAAATAAATAAATGTATAAAATGTTTAAAAATAAAAACTAAAACAAAAATAACAAAAAACACAATTCATATTAAAATAAAATAGGATTTCCAGTTTGAAAAAAAATCTTATAAATCACACGAAGATATGTCAAAACTGTCAAAGTTAAATTAAAAAGATGTGATGAAATCCCACAGCAGTAATTTCCTTTTTTTATCTGTTTGTCATCTAAAATAAAATAAAAAAATCTATACCATAAATGGATTGAAGGCCAGAAGAATGTAGGCTTCATTAGAGCGTCTCATCCTTCGACCTCCTCCACAGGGACTCCATTCTATTAACCTAGATCTATAATTGACTTCTCCTTTTAAACATATGTGGCTGACAAAGGCAGGCGGAGACGGAGGCGGTGGGCTGATTTATACACAGTCAGACGACAGGATAACAGCCGCTGCTGCAGCTCACCGTCGGCACACTCACCTCTGCCCGTCCACATCTGTTTCAACTCATTTAATCATCTGAGTTTGAACACTACACCAACACAATCTGTTTGTTTGTTTCTTCACCTCGTTACTACGAAGACAACAGCACGATTTTCACCTCGTTACTACGAAGACAACAGCGGTCCCTGGTGGACACGATTCTTCCAAGTGTGTTTAATATTTTGGACAATTTCTTTTCTCTTTTTAACCCCAAGAATTTTTAAAAAAAAGAAGTCACCCACTCCACCACAGCTGTATCTCAGCAGGCTGGTTGCGTCGTGCTAAAACAGGCTCACTATGACCCAGTTCTATCATTTATGGCTCGGCCAATCTCACCATGACAACTGAATATGTATGACGGAGCTGGAAATAACTGAACTCACAGCTGACGAGTGCTGCAAAACGTGGAGAAAGGCCGCAGCCGCGCAGGTGTGCGTGGGTGACGGCGACGAGCCGAGATGAGCGGCACGAATCAGTGGAAGGATCCACGTCCAGGTGTTTTTATAATGTTCTGTTTACAGGTGATGATGCCTTCAATGAGCAGGTGATTTAACCTGTTGATTTAAACTCCCTCCTCAGATGATTTAACCACCAGTCCAGACGTCACACCTGAACTCAGCTCTCCTATATTTAAACACGAAGGCAACCAAGGTCTTAAGGTCATGAACTCATTAGGAAAAAGACACAGAGGGGATGGTGAGGCCGCCCCCCCCCCCCCCCCC